CAAGTCCCAGCCCACCTCTGGCTAGCTGTATGACGTCAGACAAGTCACTGAGCTTCAGTTTCTCCCTCAATTTGGGAGGGAGGGATAGTGTGACCCACTGCTGAGTTCTTCATGATGAATACAGATTAAGCAGGTAAAGAGAGTGAGGAAACATTTATGGCAAGAAAAAAAGCAAAAGCAAAGGGCCTGAGGTAGGGAAGATGAAATAATGGGGTGAGTAGAGCTAGAATACAGCAGTGAGAGGGGCCTGCCAAGGGAGGCAGAGATACAACCACCAGAGCTGAGGCCTTGAGACTTTTTTTGACTACATAAATAAATACATGTATACGTATATAGGGTACACTTGATGCACCCTAATTTTTCTATTCTTTTTGTTTCAAAGTGATGGTTAGTGGGTTGTGAGCAACAATTTGAAAAAATGCTGACCTCTGTGGCCATGAGCACATGGGGGAGCATGTGAATACACACACACACACACACACACAATCTTACACTATTAGCTACCATTTTGCACACAAGTGACTGATCACAAATGTCTGGAGAGTGGGTCGTGTCTCTTCTTCTGTGCCCCCCCACGGTGGAATGCACAATGTTCAAAACATATTGGTTAATTGAGGGTAAAGCCTGGGTGAGCAGGGGGACCTCCACATTTGGAGGTTTAAATCACCTGAGGAGGCCCTCCCTGGTGGTGCAGGGATTGAAGTCTCAGTGCTATCAAACTATTACCAGCCACTGCAGCCTGAGTTGCCCAGCCAAGGAGCTACCCACATGGTACAGCAGACCTCTCCTGTCTCACCTGCTGCTCCCCTCAGCAGTGTGTTTCAGTAGATCCGTCTGTTCTGCTCCCCATTCCGTCTCTGGTGAATCTTCTCACCTCCCCCCAATTCTGGCCTACACCCCTGTTCTTGTATGCATAAATAAATAAAATAAATCTTTAAATAAATAAATAAATCACCTGAGGAGGACCCACTGACCACAAAAATCTCTAACTTTGGCTTCAGCCCCTCAACCTGGGCAAACTGAACAGGGACACCCACAAGTAGTAAGCACCACGTCTCAGGTTTAAGGTGATGGTGGTGGCTTCTCCCAGGGCTCTCACGAGGATTTGAAGAGCAGTTGTACATGGAGCCCTTGGCTCGGTGCCTGGCCCCAGGAATAGCCCAGCACGTATGCTGTGCTCAGCGTACGCCCGGTACTGCTGCATCCCTTCATGTCTGCCAGTCCACTTAATCTTACAAGGACCTGATAAGGTTAACACTGTATCATTCCTATTTACAGGAAAGGAAATAGAGGCTAAGAGATGCCCAAGGTCACAAAGTTCAGAAATGACAGAACAAGGGCCCCAATACAGGTGAACTAGACCTCAACCACTGTGCATATGCAGCTCAGAACACTCTGGATTCATGGTGGCTCTTGGTATAAATTTTGCCAAAGAGGATGCTAAATCGATTCATCCTTAATGTCTTTTGCAAACCTGACATCCTGGGACTCTGAGGGCTGCATATGCCCTTCACCCCCACCTCCTGTCCCAGAACAGAAAGGGACAGGGAGAGGGTGGGGCCCCCGCAGGGGAAGTTGATGCTATTGATGGTGAAGGTGATGACAGGCGGGTTCTGACTGCTGCTGCAGTTGGTGACAAGCAGGAGAAAGAATAAGGGGCCTGGAACCAAGTAGTGAGAGTCCACTCCCGCCAGGGCTGCTGAGACAGAAGGGGGTTCCTATCTCAGAAATCCGTCCTGCACCTAAAACCTTCCCACCTGGTCTCTCAGCCTCCTAACCTCCCCACCCCCCACAACCACAGGTACATTTCACCCCAGATGAATGCTCCAGTGAAGGCACAAAGATGGAGTCCAAGCAGGTAGGAAACAGACTATTGCTCAGGGCAGGAAGAGTTCAGCCCATCGGCACTAAGCAGCTGGCAGGACATCTTCAGAGGCCAGAACTTAGAAGGAGCCAAATGCACTTTGACTCCCAGTGACAGTGGGTTGGGTGCCTGCCTTTCCTGGCACCCCAATGACCTTCAGCAGGGGACGCTTCCGGACAGGGAGGAGGGAGAAGCTATGGCCATGACATCAGGCAGCCTGGAAGCACCAGTCAGTAGCCTGGTCCTCTCTGGACAACCTGCAGGGGAGTCATCAGAGGGCAGTGGTCACCAAGTTCAGTGCTATCAAACTATTACCAGCCACTGCAGCCTGAGTTGCCCAGCCAAGGAGCTCCCCACATGGCACAGCAGACCTCTCCTGTCTCACCTGCTGCTCCCCTCAGCTGCTCCCCTCAGTGGCTGGTAATAGTTTGATAGCACTCCCGCCTCCGTGTAGCCTGCAGATCCAGGCTGGAATGGGGAAGGAAGCCCCCCAGGTCCCCTCCCTTGGAATGGGGCATTTGAATCTCCCCACCTCTGGAAGGCGACCTGCCAGTAACCCTGGGCAACCACAGGCCCCAGGGGAGCTCACCTATGTACAGCTGACTGGTTTTGTCCCCAAAGGTGCTGTCATCCTGTCTGTGTGGACTAAAGACACAGACTAAGGAGGCAGCTGCAGAGCAACTGTACCCCCATTTCTGAGGTCTGAGTCAACCCATCAGAACTGCCCCCTTTTGCCTCCCTCCTGTTTCTCTTGTACCCCCGTCTCCAGCCTCTTGCTCAGAGTGAGGCATCTGGCAGGTTCTCCATAAGCCTTGTCCATCAGGGGGTCAACCATTCGAGGGCAGGGGGGAAGCTCCCAGGCAGGGAGGGTCTTCTCCCTGGTGAGACAGAAGCTGCCCTTGGGCTCTGGGCTCAGGTTGAATCTAATACAGCTGTCTATGACTGTGGAGGCCCTGGCTTTGGAAGGTTGTGTCCAACCCCATCTGGCTCAGGTCAAACTTCTAGTTGGTGATGGCCAAGTCCTGGGTCTGGTCCCTGAGGAGACTGCCCTTGGGGGTGGCCCTCAGGAGGCTGGGACCCAGCAACCACCCTCAGCAGGAAGGAAATTAGACACCTAGCTTGCTCCTGCTCTGGCCCACTGCCTACCGCCAGACATCAGAGCGTGGAGGTTTTCCAAAGGCAGGCTGTGCCCCTCCCAAAACTGGAGCAGAAGAGAGGGGCAGTATGGACTGGGGAAGACTTTGAATAGGATTGTTGGGGGGCTGGGAGAAACCTCAGAGGAAAGACTACAAGTTAGCAGAGTGTGAGACCCTTAGACCAAGTGAGTTGGGTGGGACTCTGAAACTTAGGAGTTAGAGTCGGGGACAAATGGGGGGCGTAGAGCTTGCCGAGGCTGCCAGGAGGTAAAGATAACTGCATAGCCTCCCATCTCAGTTTCAGCCTCCCCACTTCCTGCGTGTCACATTTCCAACCTCAGAGGACCCCCTGTGTGCAGCTCACGCCACCATGGACCCCTCTAACATATCGAATCACAGCTCTCAGGTCCCATTGGTGGGGGGTGAAGTCAGTCTAGGGGTTCGCGATGAGGGCTCTTTTTAAAATGCAACTGATTGGAAATGACTAGATCAGGGTGCAGCTCAGATAACATGGCTATGCAGCACTTTCCATGCGCGTGTGCGTGTGTCCTGGCTCATGATGCAAAATGCTAAAGGACCCCCCCCCACACACAGGAATAGCCACACCATACATGCGCAGGCACACACTTGAACCCCACACCCAGCCATGTCTGCCCTGCACCCCAGGCATCTGTGCATGTCTCCATGAGCAGGGCAGGAAGGCCCCCACAAGCCTCTTCCCTCCAGCCCCCACCCTTCCTGGCCCTGTCCTCCCACCCTTCCTCCATGTCATCCTCCCTCTCCTCTTCCTCCCTTCTTTTCTTCTCTTCCCCCCCACCCCCTACCCGGGCTGCCCCTTTAAGTCCTGGCTGAGAGAGAGCCCTGGACCTCCTCTCAGCAGGGGTCTGGGCCCTGGAAGGCCCTCCAGGTGCTATTTCCAAGGCAGAGAGAAGGCAGAGTTATCTGACTTAGCTCAAGACATTTGACATCAGCCCAGTCCTGCTGCCATGTGGACCTGCACAGCACCACCCCCCACAACCCGCCACCCCACCAACAATTTCTCCCCTGGAGAAAGTGGCTCCACTTGGCAGTGGGGCCTAGAAATTTGCAGAAATTTCCCCCTGTTGTTGGGCAGTCTTCCCTTTAAGGCGCCAGGCTGTTCTAGAGGAGTCAGAAATGCATCCTCCTGAGACCTTTGTGTGCTGGGTGGAGGTAGCAGGGGGCCAGCAGGTAAGACAGGTTGTGAGGAGGGGTCCTTTGGACTGAGCTGAGCTTGGCCGTAGATCCAGTCTCCTAGGGTGGGGGTGTGGGGCGTGCTGGGGATTAGGTGACAGGAAGGTAGTTCTATATCTCATGCTCAGGTTTATCAAAGGCCAGAGAATCTAATCACTAGAGCCTGGATAAGGAGCAGGAACCTGGCCTTTTCCCAGTGTCCCAAACCAAACACTGATAATGGGTCCAGGAAACTCCAGGACTGACTCACCCTCTTGCCTCATGGGCCCTAACTGGGCCTCAGATGGACATGGTATGGTCCCAGCCATGATGGTGGGACAGCCAATCTACTTTGGATTCTGGAGGGTGTGCCTGGGAATGGCAGTGCCCACCCTTCCAGGACTTTCCCTCTGCTCAGGGTTCCTCCTGTGGGTCACCTAGGGCTGGTGGAAGCCAGAGGGCCCAGGGCAGGGAGCTGGATGGCCAGTCACACCAACTGTCCTGACACCCCTGTGTCTGGAGGGCTTGACTGCATATGCCCACTGTACAGGGAACCCAAGGCCTGGAGCAGGCAGGGGGACCCATAACCTCAGGGAGGGAGGAGAGGAGAGGCTGAGCATGCTCCTGGAAGTCACTCTTGTTGCTTTCTTGACTCAACCCCCCCTGATCCTGAGGGTGTCTGGGAGTGTCTGGCTGACCTTTAGCTAGCTTCCTGCCAAGTCCAGGGCCCTCCCCTCCACCCCACCCAGATTCCAAGAAGCTGAGGCTCCAGGGGGACTTCTGAGGGTCTTACCTTTGTCCCTTTGCAGGAGGACTTGTGGCCACTGCTCAGTGTCGATCCAAGGCTCCAATGGCTGACCCTCCAGAGACTCTGCCTGCGTGGGCGCCTACTCCACAGCCTCTGCTGACCTCCCCCGGCCTACTCCGGACATTAACCTCCTGCATACTTGCAGCCCTGTGGCCTCACCTCCCAAAGCCCTGGGGGTGGGGTATCAATGCTCAAGTCCTCCCTGGTCACAGACCCAGCAAAGAGCAGACACCAAGCCACAGGTGCCCGAGTAGCAAAGCTGGGGTCTCCTATAAGGCCTGGTCTGGCCCTGGAATATGAGGGCAGTTCCCCAATGAACCCTGCTTTTTAGCCTCTGGCCCTGGGATGGGTCACGATGTCCAGGGGCTGTTCCTCCAGGCCTCCAAGTCAAATCTATATATCTCTTTCCCCCACCCACCACTTTCTTTTCCTGTGTCAATGAAAGCATCCATCCCTCCAGGGCCTGAATAAAAAGCAGCCCCCTTACCTCAGAAACCAACTTGATTCCTCCTTTCCCACACCCTCCTCCCCATCATTTCCACTGCTAATGCCCTGTTGGGTCTACTCCAGAATATAGGACACCCCCAAATCTGTCCCTTTCCACTACTTCCCATGGCCTAGAAGTCACGCTCATCTGCCCTAGATTAATTGCAGCCTCCCAATAGGTCTCCCTAATTCCACCCTTTCCAACCTTCTCCCTCCAGTGCCTGGGTCCCTGTACATTAATAACCCCGTGAGAATGAGCATCATGACAACTGCCACTGGGAGCTTGAGTGATGCTCTCACTCAGCTGAGCTCCCCAACCTGTCTCCACAGGAGCTCCACGCAGGCTGTGGGCAGGAATGTCCACCCCCCAGAGGAACTGGGGCCCAAGAGAGGCCAAGAGAAGGATCTACCTGGTGAGCAAGGTAAGTGTTAAGGAGGCTTCCTATCCACCACTTGCAGGGAGTAAAGCTTCTGGAAGAACTGGCTGAAGGTCCCAGGGCCATTATCACCCCTCACGATCCATGTCCCACAGAGAACCCACGCCAAGTCCTGTCTCTTCTCTCCTGTCACCTCTGTTTTCACAAGAGCTGGTACCTCCAAATTCAGGACAGCCTCAGACTAAAGACAAACATCCGCTGAATGAATGGACAGTTTGGATTTTGATTAAATGAGCCAAGGACTCCGATATCAGATAAGGGTTGAGAGGGCGAGGATGCTGCAATTGTTTCTATAGAAAGCCCTGTGGTTTCTGGCCAGCTATTAGGTCCCAAGAACCAGAAGGGCCATTGGAGTGAATACTAATGCAGCTAAAGCATGTAGCAGAAGTGCCACGTCTAGAACAAAGAAGGCTTTGTGCTGAAGGAAGGTGAAGGTTGGGCCTGGGTCGGGCCTGCATAAGGCCCTTGGTTCTGGATCAAGCTAGAGTGCAGAGGCATGGCCACCTGATTATGGCAAAAGAACTGCGTTCTGGTGAAAAGATCTGCCACTTGCCGAGCACTTCCTATGGGCAGCTCTTCTGTGACTATCACCATTTCATGAGGGAGGCACTGTTATTATTCTATGTCACAGAGGGGTGGTTAGTTAGCAGTGGCAACGCCAACTTTCGAAGTCCTGCACCCTTGAGAGAGACTAGAATTAGCTGAGTGTGGATCCAGGGGCAGAATTAGGACCCGATGAGAGGCAATTTGGAGACATCATAAGACCAGAGTGGAGGGAGGGCTTGTGAGGTAGTGAGCTCCCCATTCAGGAAGTGTATGAGCAGAAACCTGATAAATATCTCTAGGAATCCTGTCAAAGGATTTCTGGATGGATCCTGTGGATTCTGTCCTGGACTCTTGAAACTGCAGAGGCAGAGCCATGAGGACCCACACAGACCCCCTCATTCCTACCTCAGCATTCCCTCCACCTCAGCCTCCACAGTCTTTCTAGAGATGCAGGGGTCCCTCATCAACTTCTTCCTCTACCTCTAAGTATGACTCCTCTTTAAGGTATCTCTCAGAGAGCACCCCTTGGTTCAGAGAGGGTCTGCCCTGGTCTGATTGGGCCTCTCGTAAGGTTGAGATGCCCGCCTGGTGAGGGCAACAGGGACATAGTGAGGCCGGCCTCATCCTGCACACCACTTTACAGAATGGGCACCATTCTGAGGCACCAAGAGTGTCAGAGCAAAAGAGTCTGAGTGGAAGTTGGCAGGCCCTGGGGGAGAGCAAGTTCACCTTGTAGTTAACGAGGCAGAGCCAGTAGCTGAGATTTCAAAAGGATTCCTGAGTGGGAACTCTGGAATGTGGTCCCTGGTGACGCACCCTCAGGAGGGCAAACCTAGCACCCTCCCCCTGCCACCCACCTGCGAGAACTGAGCCCCTTTAGGCCAGGCTGGGAGCTGGGGGGAGTGGGAGGGGTACACACGACTGGCATCCTGCCCCAGCTCAAGCCACTAATTAACTTCATGACCTGAGGCAAGTCACTTCACCTCTTGGCCCACTTCCTCCTCTGTGCAGCGGAGATAACATCCTGCCCGGTGAGCCTGAAAGAGATAAATGGCGCACAGGGCACTGCAAACGGCTGCCTGTGTTTATGTGAACCTAAAGTGCTGTCATTACCCAGGGTGGGCTTGGGGAGGGCCCCTCCTGGTCTGACCTGAAATGTCACTCCCAGACAGGATGCTGGCTCCTCTCCCTTCCTGAGGGCAGCTCAGCTGGTGGGTAGGGCCTGTTTCCAAAGGAGAGAACTGAGCACTCAGCAAACATGCGCAGATGCCAGCACTGATCTTTGGGCAATGATGCCGATGGAAAGGGATTCCCTTGGCACACCACGCCCTGATGGCAGCAGCCAGCTCCAACACAGGAGCAGGGTGGCCTTCCTGGGTATCCCTCCCACCCGCCCTTCCCGCCAGGAAAGCCATCTCATCACACCCACCAGCTCTGCCAGAGGAAAATTCCTGCAGCAGACCTCTGTGGTCCGAGGCAGTGACCTGGGAGGGGACAGTGAAGGTTGGAGGCCACCCTGGGCTGGGAGCCAACTCCTGGGACATGTCTCCTGACCACACCCCCTGTCCCGTGCCCCACAAAAATGCACACCGAAGCAATTACAACATGGTCCACAACATGCTCTGGGAGCCCAGGGGTCTGACCAGAATCTGGCCACCCCAGAGAGAAAGGCTAACTATTCCTTCTTGTATTGTTCAGTGGAGGAGCAAGTCTCAAGTCTCACGCACTGAAAAGTGACTTCCAGTTTTTTCCTCTCAAACAGTGGGCTGTTAACACAGCCTGTCCAGATCTGTCTACCTTCCGAAGTGGTGCCGTGTTCATTACCTAATGGGTCACTCCTCACAGCCAGTTCCCTGTTTTCCAGGTGCAAAAACTGAGGCCCTTTTGGGGTAACCAAATGCTTGAGAGCAGACAGTAGCTGTCAGGAGTGATCTTTTCACTCAGGCCAGGCCTCTGGTTCCCCTGTGACTATGTCCGTCCATTTGTAAGGAACCCGAGCAAACCCTTAAGTCACCTACATGGCCAGGGCCCCGAGGTCTGGTCCTGGCATGCCATATCTGCCCCAGCCACCCCCATCTTGGCTCTCCTATTTGGACAGACCCATTCCTGACTGTGGGGGCCAAAACAAGGATCAGGGGTAGAGTGAAAGGACGTAGAGAAAGCAGAAATGGGCTGAAGACAGAGGATGGCATTTCCCCATTGCAGTGTGGGAAAAGGCAAGATGAATCCAGTCTGCAGCAGCCGAGCACCCTGGTCCAGATCAAAAGGACATACAGAAGAGAAGGGTTTGGTGCCAGCGCTGGAGTTGCAGCAGCTGCACCCTGGGACCTTGCTAGTCCCAGGGAAAAGGCCTCTCCCATATCCTGTTTTGGCCAGTCTTTGCCCATTTCACTGACAGAGATATCCAAATAGGTTCTGGATGCTGGCCAATCCAATCCCCACCCAAGGGTGAGGGTGCTTCCAGAACTGAGACCTTGGTGTTCTGGATCGCCAGAGGGGAGGGAATCAGGTGCCAGAGAAGATTCCCTAAGAATCTGACATCATCCATCGAGCCAGAATTTAAAAATAATTATATTAATAATAAATATGTTAAGTTACATTTAAAACAATAAATAGAAAAATAAACTGATAAATAAAATCAACAGGTACAAAATGTTTCAAAATTTCAACCAAAAAAAACACACAGACAGACAAGACGATGGACGCTCGGGAGGGCGCTAAATGCAATCACGGGACCCCTTCACAGTTTACGTTGTGGCTCCCTCCTCGCCTGGCCACTTCTTCTCTCTCCAAGCTGAGACCAGAAGACTCTGGCTGCTATCTTTGGGGGCTCTGGCCAGCGTGGGGAAGCATCCGGTCCCACCTCAATGCCCTTCTGCGAAGCAACCCTGAACCCTGGGGCGTGTGGGTTCAGAGGACAGAGGACTGGAGCGTGAGGCAGAGCTGGGCCGCGGCGGGGAGGAGGGACGTCCCTACAGAGGCAGGTCGGTGCTGTTGTGCCGGGTTTTCCTGGCAGTGCCATCATCTCGGGGCAGAGCCCTCTGCAGATTGGACATGGCCACGGTCTTTTTGAGGTCAATCACGGCGTAGGAGTCTGAGCTGCGGGCAGGGTGGGCGGTGGGCACAGGGGCTTGGGGGACTGAGGGGTTCTGGGGCCCCTTGGGGCGGTCTCCACCCCAGCCCTTCAGCTCCACCTGGATGTAGTTGAGCTGCCTTGGGGGCTCGGGGCCTGGCCGGCGGAAATCAAAGTTGAAGACCCGAGGGGAGCCTCGGCGGCGGGTCAGTGGCACAGGGAAGCTGCCGTGGCTGCGGAGGGCAGCCCGGGTGCTGGTGGGCTTCTGCAGCGGGGTCTCGTCTTCCTCGCCATCGGGAAAGCCATTGGAGGAGGGTGTGAGCCCATCTCTCGAGTCCCCATCATCCCCGGCCTCCTCCCCCAGCTGCTGGGTTTGACTCTCCCACACGGGGGGCAGGGAGGGCAGGTTCTCATAGTGCAGCAGGGCAGCCCGGCGATGGGCAAGACCATTCCAGCCTGGTTCCTCCGGGCTCAGTCTCCAGCCGGGCCCTCGCCTCAACCCCCCGCTGACGTTCTCGTAGGTGCACTTGGGCTGGGCTGGGCACTCAGAAGGGCCCTCATTGTTATTGTTGTGGGGTGGGGGGTCATGCAGGCTGGGGCAGAGGCCCTGGCACTTCATCACGTGCCGCCGAGCAGGGGTTGGGCCCAACACGAACTTCACCTGGCCTGGCTGCAAGAACACCTGCGGGTCCCGCTGGTCGGGGCCCCGGGTCTGCGGGGGGAAAGGCGCCCGCCCCTCAGGCAGGGGCTGCAGGCAGTGCCGGCTTCGGCGGTGGGCATCCTCATTGGCCGGTGTGTTGACATAGGTGTGGGACTGCGGGAGAGAGCCCCAGTGTAGCAGGAGGATCCAGAACAGGAGAAAAGAGAACAGAAGGAACGGAGTGAGAGAGGAAACATGTAAAGAGCCCAGGTTTCCTCCTTTTTCTTGTCTTCCAAACTCCGGGAAGGGAGGGACTGGAAGGGAGCTTACTGATTCTCTTCCCTTACTTATTACTGATTCACGGTCCTCACTGGGAGGAGATGCCACGTTTCCTGATTCCCTGTCCCCACTCAGACTACCGGAGAAGAACAGAGCAGCTGCTTCCTCACCTGCTCTTCAGGGGCAATGAGGGCATGGGTGGACTCTTCCCCAAGCGAGGGGTGTCGCAGGCTGCTGGTTGAGGGGCGCCGGGGAGCTGAGAATCGTGGGCCCTCTCCGGGGCAGCCGGGGAAGCCATTGGTGAAGCTGGAGACAGTGTAGCCCAGAGCTGTCACAGAAGAGAGACCAAGTGAAGCAGTACTGAAGCACCCAACCCCTGGACCTACTGCAATTAGAAGAGAGGTGTTTCCAGGGCCCCCCAGGTGAAGAGCCCCCAATGAATCACAGCCCCCCAACATTCACCTTCTCTCTTCTTCAAACCCTGCTTTTTAGCCTGAAGTCCAGCTTGAAGCCCACCTCACCCATTACAGTCGATCTGAAACACTGACAGCACATCCTTTGCCTCGTTCTAGCTTGCCAGTGAGCTCCCAAGAAGCTCCTTGAAATCAGGGACTGCGTTTCTATTTCTTCTGCCCACATGGGCCACGGGTGCAGAATGCAGAGCAGGCCCTAAGTGTGGACTCAGTAAATGAACAAGCAGACATTGTGGGAACCTCCGAAGAAACCATCATGGTCAGAGACGCCTGCACCAGCAGTCAGGAAAGGTACATGGGTGTGACCCAGCAGACTACGAAGGAAGTAAAACAGCTCCAGACTGCTGTTTCCATGGAAACCCAATGTCTTCCTGTCTGCTCCCCGACAATCAGTCGATACAAGGCCCAGGATTCCCCAGCCTCAGCTTGAGTCACGTAATTGGACCAGGCCAGGACTTATCTATCCCTAAGAGTGGCTCAGACATGGACAATGATGCTGGAAGGCTAGTTCACCCATCGATTCTGCCTGCCTGCTTGATTTGTGCCTCTAAGACTGGTGCTGCCTGGACCTGTGTGGTGTGTCTGTGTGTGTTTGTGTTGGGGTGCTGAAGACAGGCATCCTCACCATTGGGAGGCTGGGGGGCCCTGGGGAGCTCGAGCTCAGCTGGGTGGCTGTTGCGGGTAATGATGACCGGCTCTTCCATCACATTGATGCTGTTGCACTGCATCAGGTCCTGCAGGAGGTTGAAGATTTCCTCAGCCCGGGAGCACTTGAAGGCAAATATCCCTGAAGAAGAGGAGGAAAAGAGATGCTGAACAGATGCTCAGAATTCAGGAAATATCCCTGAACTCCAGTCTCAGGCCTACAGGGGGTGGAGGGCCCCCTCTCACCCTGAACACTCACCCCAAGAGCTACTGGAGATGCTGGGCCAAGGTCCCCCGACCCAACCACGGTCCTGTGAGTTAACCCTTCAGCTATAGTCCTCTGACGCTGAAGCACTTCCATAAGGATGTGTGTGTACAAGGGTAAGGGGAAGAGACTGAGAGTCAAAGTAGAAAGGACAGTATTAGGTGAAGGACAGTTCCTGTTCACATGCTCTCCCTATCCTCCTTTGCATACCCCCCTGCTCCCCAAAACAGTGAGCACCCCAGGGCACCAGACTTCTGCTCTACGACCCACAACCTCTAGGTTCCTGGAGGGCAGGAATGTCTATCATGTTCACTGCTTGTCCACTGGGGACTTAGCCCAGTACCTGGCCAAAGAATGAATGTCTACTGTGTACAGGCCCCTGACATCATGGCACATTGACTCTGGGGCAGAAAGAAAGGGTGCGTTGACGAGCTAAAAATATGGCAAGGCAACCAGGTGACGACTTTACAACCCCTCAAACTCCAATGCAAAGTCCCGGGGGCAGCAGGATGGAGATAAACACCGTGACTCAGAGTTGTGGGCCAGCCTGGGGTTCTACAGCCCCCTACCAGAGGCGCAGGATTCAGAAGAGGCTCCTTGGGGCATGTATGTGCATACACCCACAACAAAAGTCACTAAAACTAGGTCAGGGCATGGGGCAACTGGGATAGGAGGAACAGAGGGGACAAAAAATTATTCTGGCAAGATATGTCAAGGGCTAGTAAAAGCTGGGAAAGTCTGGAGTCTTAGGAGAACCCAGCCAAGTATAGATCAAGCACCAGCAGAATAGAAATCTCCTCCTGCTCAATCCCTGCTCAGCAATGTTAACTGACTTGCTTCAAAGCTTTATTTTTTTTTAAAGATTTATTTATTTATTTATTTATTTATTTATTTATACAAGAATCAGGGTACAGGCCAGATTCACGGGAGGGTAAGAGGATTCACCAGAGACAGAGCGGGGAACAGAACAGGCAGACTGACTGAAATACACTGCCGAGGGGAGCAGCAGGCATGACAGGAGAGGTCAGCTGCGCCATCACCCTCACCGGCTGGGAATGAACGGGCACTGCAGAGGCTGCGGACAGCTTCACAGGGCTGTGCTCAACTGCCTGCGCCACCAGGGGAGGCCCTGCTTCAAGGCTTTAATGGAAAGATGCATGGAGGACACTCCTCCACTACTGCCTCAGAGAACAGCTGCACCAGCAGCCTGGTCAGGGCAGCTCATTGACTCCACCTCTCAAAGTTAAAGCCCGAAACTACACTGACCACAATCCCGCATGGCTCCCTTCAGCACAGCTCAGGTCTGGCCCTAAAAGATCTGTCCAGCCCAGCCCATGCCATTCTTTCAAAGAGCTCAAGCCTTCGCCTCATGGAACAGCCCAGGATTCCCTGACCTCTAGTTGCAGAGAGAAAAGAGAGGAAAGAGAAAACATCACACTCCTTTGCCCAGTGAAAAGAACAAAGACCTGTCTCTTAAGGATCACTCTGTCTACTTACTAGGGACCCAAGAGTCCTGCCTCCCAAATAACACAGCCCCCGGGCTGCCAGTGCCTCCTGCCTGACCTTTCGTTATTCAGGGTGTCCAAGCTACAGGACCAGGGAAACCTCAAACCAGCAAACCTCAGGAGAAAGTTTGTTCCCAATTAGGGGGCAATGGTGATCCATAAAACTGGAAGGAGGAGGACTCTCTTGCCTTCAGAGGCAGGTTCTGGCCTGAGAACACTGGTTCCTTCCCAGGGGCTAAGCAACAAATTTTCCCACAGAGGGGCCTAGGTCGGAGCCGCAATGACTCAAGAGAAATGCCCTGAGAATCAAGTTACTTCTGCACTAACAAGCTGTGTGCAATGGCCGTGACCCTGCCCCTCAGTGGGCAGCACCTGTTATGTCATTAGACACCCCCAGCACCCCCTGAGCGACCAGTTCCAGCTTCAGTACCTGGGTGGGTGAGTCAGGGGCTGGTACTTACCCTGGCCCGTCTGACACCGGCGGCCACTCTCAAAGGAGAAGAGGTTGGAGTCGTACCCATAGCGCCGCAGGCAGAGGTAGGGCCAGCGGACAGCCTCGCGCCGGTGTAGGTGCAGCACCAACTCACTTTGCGTCAGCTCCATCACTCCAGAGCCCAGCTCCACCCCCTCGTCATCCACATTCGTCACCTGGTTGGGGGGGGAGGGTGGGAACACAAGGGTGAATGGGCCAACACAGGACTAGAAATGGGGGGCCGAGGGTCTCACCTGTCTCTACCACAGACTCTATGGAAGGGGAAACAGGTGAAGTTGTGCCAGTGACCCACGACATCTCTCTAGGCCTCAGTTCTGTCATTTGAGCAGTGAGGGAAAGGTAGTTAGTTGAGCTCCAAGGTCAGATGGTTAACAACCAAGGTTAGATGACTTTGACGGCCCATGACTAAGTATCCAAGCACCTGACATTAATGGGAGAAGGTGGTCAATTTTAAGTTCAATATCTCAAGACAATGAGAGTAAGACCCCCAGACAACAAATAGATAACTGCCTCCACCACCTCTCCAAAGTCACCTTGTGAAGGGCTCCCTCTTCTGGTGAGCAGAAGAAAGCTGTGCCTCAACAACTGGGTATGTGCATTCCCTGCAGGGAGGTAGGAGGGGCTGGGGTGCACAGGGTCCATTAGGTCTGCCTGGTCTGAGCTTTCCAAAGCAAACACTAATACTGTATAGCACTTAACTCATGTTAAGCTCTGTTTTAAATACTTTACATGTATGTGTGTATATATATATTATATATATAATGTATATATACTTTACATGTATGTGTGTATATAATGTATATATAATGTATATATATTATATACATAATATATATAATGTAAATTCTTAAATAACAATTGTTTTCTCAAAAATAATTCTATATAAGGATACAAAGACACACTGTCAGGATGGACATTCTAGATGCAGTTTTGCTCCTGTATCACTGCGCTTCTTCATCCTTCGTAGGACCAAGAGCAGAACAAAGGAGAGTGGCCTGCCTGGATTACTTTACCTCAGGCCACCTCAGAGTCCCTTAAGTCAAGAAATATTAATCAATCTACAACCTCATCTTGATGGAGGACCAGGTACCCAACAGCTCAGAGCTGGAGTCCAAGAAGCCATACTGCAAAGTGGGGAAAGAGAGCGAGCCATGGGTACCTTGAACTTGGTGGGGTGGTTGTCTGGGATGCTGTCTCTGTTCAGGCAGCTGCAGCAGCTCCCCATGGTGTCAGAGCAGACAGCTTGCCCTAGGAAACACACAAGGAACAAGGCATTCATCAGGTCAACTCCAAAAAGCCCCTGCTCTGAAGAACTCCAGCAGAAGCCCTCATTGTGATCACCTATTATCTAAGGAACTGTACGACACAGTCCTTCCCTCAGGGAACCAGCACTCAATCCAGGACCAGACACATATTGGATAAACATTAATTCAAGTGAGGATGTGTTAAAGACTGATGCTGACAGGGGGTGGAAACAGCTTCTAGAGATAACATTCATGTGGCTCTTGAGAAATGTGTAGGATTTTGACCTGATGTAAACATAGGGAAGGGAACACTGGGCAGCAGGAAAAGCATGGGTAAAAGTAGGGACCCAGGGCCTCCCTGGTGGCGCAGGGGTTAAAGACAGCGCTATCAAGCTACTGCTAACCACTTGAGCATGAGTTCGAACCCTGGCTGGCCAGGAAGCAACCCACATGGCACAGCAGACCTCTCCTGTCTTGCCCGCTGTTCCCCTCAGCAGTGTATTTCAGTAGATATGCCTGTTCTGCTCCCCACTCTGTCTCTGGTGAATCCTCTCACCCCCCACACCTCTGGCTTGTACCCCAGTTCTTGTATGCATAAATAAATAAATCTTAAAAAAAAAGAAAAAAGTAGGGACCCAGAAGTGATTTGCATATGGAAGGCGGTGGCAACCTGGGGCCCTCATCCAAATTCAGCAAAGAAACCATAATTTGAGAAACCAGAAATCTTGGCTTTCTTTTTCCTCCTTTTCTGCCTTGCCCTTCCCACATTGTCCAAGACCTCTCTTGAACTCCCTCACCACAGAGCCAACATCCACCTCAAATTTACCTTTTGATGTCTCTTCAAATGAGGTGTTACATTATGGTCAAACGCTACATTCAGAAAATTAGACATTTAAATTATAGTACAATTTGTATAAGTTTGATTAGATAATTCATCAAAAAAATAAATGAGAGACTTGCTCTTCTGTGTCCAAAGGGGTGACCAGAGGCCTGAAGTCTTTGGCTTTTCCCTTCAGGACCATGGCACTTGATTATATATGGCAGCAGTCAGGCCTGTGCTTAAGCTGGACGTGTGAGGGACCTAAGGAAGCAAGCAAGCATGTGAACAGATCCCAGACAGAAGTTAAAGTGTTGCAACTTGCTGCAAGAGATGTATTTCAAGATTAAACATCCTTGGAATATGTCTAACTGAACATGCAAAGCCTTAAACAATCCTGCCCTGCATCCTCCATTCCTCCCAACTTGGGAACTCCAGAAAATGGACTCCTATACATAGCTCTCACCTCACCCAGGCCATCGGGGAGCTGACCATGGGAGGGGCATGGGGAACTACCCCCACTTATTCTCCCCGTTCTTGGTAGGGCATCATGACAAGCAGCCTGCAGAGAAGTCACGTGGATCCCTCCGGGACACACCTGGGGTTCACCTAGCACAGGAGCAAAAACCAAAGGTTAGTGGAAACCTTTCATCCTTACCCCCAATAGTTCATGAAACTGACCCGCTGTCAGCCCACCCCACCTGGCTCTGTCCCAGGTCCTAATGGGACAGAAGCACCAATGAAGAAAGTGAATCAAAGGCAATGGGACCACAAATTTCCAACCCTGTAGGCCCTGAGAGGGAGAGACTGCCTTTAGCACATGACCTTGAAGTCTGAGGCAGTCCAAGTCCTTTCAAGGCACCTCTGAAGACCCCCTCTGAATCCTGCTACTAATACCACCAAAAACACTACCTTACCTTTGCAGAGAACTTGAACTCTACAAAGTGCTTTCTCAAAAGGACACTATGATGTATTGGAAAGGGCACTGGCTTAAGATTTAGGAAACCAATATTCTCTTCTGTTTTGTTACTAAGTATCTGGGTGACTCTGCCAAGTCACCCCCCAGGAACTCCCCAAGTTCTACCCCAAGGTCTTAGTTTTTTAAGGGAAACATATGTAAACTGTGAAGCTTCTAAGCTTAAATAACCAGCAGAGATTGGGTACGTAGGGCAAATACTACTAAAATCAACATTCTTCTCTTCAGGGACAGGATCCTTTAATCTCACATTTGGAAGCTTGAGATTTTGGATTCTCCAAATTCAGAAAAGCCTGAAATGTTAATAAAAATGCTACCAATAAACCAAAATTTCAGGGATCTGAGCTCCAGGTGGACCAGTTTGCAAATCAGAGCCCTGGAGACATTTTAAAGTGCCCCCTGCCACTGTGGGAAAACAGCATCATTTCCAGGGCCCCTTGTGTTCTGCATTCTAGGACAACTCCCTGGGTAAAAGGATTTCCATCATTTTGATCTGGTCTATTCTCTGGAAGGAGAAAGCAAGCCGTGGGAGGTGTACACGGCCTAAAGCCAGGTGCCTGGGAAAAGACTGGAGCTTGAGACAACAACTGGGAGTTTGGGGGTGAAGCCAAAAACTGTAGGATGCAAGATGGGGGAGGGGCTTGCACCTTTTCCTATCCCCTCTGCTGTTTAATCAGGACATATCATGACAGTCCAATGAGGGGAATTTACATTGGGAAGAACTGGAGGAGGGGGATCTAGTCTGGGGTAGGGGGCAGTAGTTAAAGGGGCTTATGGGGACTCAAAACATGAGTGGGCCTGGGAAAACGTGGGCAAGTTTTCTGGATTTGATCATGGTGCAGACAGAATGGGAGTATGAAGGATAGAGGAATTTCAGGGTGGTGGAAGCATTTGGGGGAATCCAGGGAGAATGGTGGCTCTGGGCGTTATCAGGGGGATTCGCAGAAAAAATGAGTTTTGAGGGCTCCAGACATGCGAAGGTGTGCCCGGGGGGTGCGGGCAGGGGTGGTTCTCGGGAGTGAGGCAGATTTAGGTAACAGGGTTGTGGGGGGGATTTCTCGACACAGGTAAGGAACGGGGGAGGTCCTGGCCGCGCGCACTCCCTGGATCCCCGCCCCCAGCTCCCGGACTCCACCGCCCTCCCGCCCGGGGCTTCCTCGTGAGGGAGCAGGCACTGCGGCGCGGCGCGATGCGGCCTCGGTGGAGCCGCCTCGTCCCCGCCCCGCTGCGCCCCGACTCACATCGCCCCGCGGCCCGGGCGGCGCCGGGCCCCGCTCCCGGGTCCCGCTGCAGCAGCCGCCGCCCGCCCGGAGCGAAGGCCTCCCCGCCCCGCCCCGCGGCCGCGAGGTCGGAGGTCACCGGCAGCACCAACGAGACGCGGCGGGCGGGCGGACCCGATCGGGGGCGACCGGCGCGCAGCCTAGAAGGTCCCTTTGGAGGACTTTGCAGTCGGGAGCAGGGAGCATGCGCAGACGCCAGAGGGCGCTCCCGACCAGCGGCTGAGCGAGCGTGGCGGGGGCGGGGCCGGGGCGGGGCGGAGCCGGGGCGGGGGCGGGGCTCAGGGTGGAACCGACAGCGCGGGGGTTACACGCCCGCGTCTGAAAGGGGCGAGAGTGGGGAGGAACGCCAGCGATGGGGCGGGGCCGGGGGCGTGTGCGGGTGCAGCTGCGAGAAGGGCCCGACGGAGGACCAGGGAAGGGGCGCGCGGGACCGCCGGGACGCCCGGGGGCGGGGCGTGCGGCCCCGCGGGCGGCTCCCGGGCGTGGAGGGCGCGCGGCTCCGCCGGTGCTGAGGACGCGCGCCAGCGCCGCTCGCGGCGGGGTGCTCCGGGGGCGCGGGCCTCACGCGCAAACCCTGGGGTGGGGGGCAGTGGCGCTTGCACACTCTCCTCCCGAGATCCCGCAAATGCTCTTCTCCCGTCTGCGGCACAGGCCCCTCCCCGAGCCGTCCCGCTCTGCCCGGCTTGGAGGGGTGGGTGGGGGCCGCGGGCGTGGGGTCGGAAGGGCTGCGCCCGGGGGCGGGCAGAGGCGGGGGCTGCGGCCTCCTGGCGGGGGCTGGAGCGAGGGCCGACCGCAGGGTCTGTCCAGAAACGCCCGGACACCGGCGCGCAGCGAGGGTGCGACATCCCCAGGGCGCGCGGCTTCCCCTAAACTCTTAGAGCCAGACCGAGAACTCCAGGGAACCTGGGAGCCACGCCACGTCCAGCATCTGAGGTTGGCCCCGCGAAATCCAAGAAAACTTTGGGATCTGTCGAGAGGCCATTTGGCGGGACCGGACACTTGTCCTCCCCTTCTCCACCTCACTGTCCCGGGAAACCTTCCTTTGCCGCTGCCTCCCACTCTCTAGGGTCGCTCAGGCGCTGCCCTTCGGGGTGGTTGGGGAAGGCAGAGCTCCTCCTGAGCGTGGTTGCAGGAGACGGGACCAGGAGAGGGAGTTCGGGGAGGGGAATTCTGGAAAGAATCCAGCTTGTTAGTAAGTTGGAGTCCAATACTAGGTGGTGGTGTAGTTAAGGGCGGGGGGAGGGCATGGATGGATGGGGAAAGGCTTAGGGGTGATTTCTGAGGGTTCTTTCTGTGTAGCACAACTTTTTGCAAACTAGAACTAATGAACAGAGCGTGCAAGTCCTTTTCCAGGGCCCCAGCTGTACCCCTTTCTTGTGCCCGCTCCCTCCCCAGTACCTCTTACTCGCCAGAGCAAGGGCAGTGCTGTTAGAGGAAGTGGCTACTCTTGGCCTGAATGTGAGCAGCCCATCCTGACTGCCTTCCACAGGAAACCTGATCTGAGGGACAGAACAGGAAGGAAGCAGATGGGTGTGGAGCCAGGAAGCAGGGAAAGGTGGCACGGGAATCTGAAAGGGGTGCTAAGGGAGGCTCAGGCCTGGGAAGCAATGTAACTGTTATAATCCAAACCCTGTTCCCAGCCCCAAAGCCAGGTGTTATAGCAGCCGGGGATTTGGTGATGGCCCTCCTGTGCCCAGCTGCTGGCAGAATCCATTCCAGCTTTCAAAGGGAACTGCTATAACCTTCCCTTAGCCTTCTAATATGACCTTGGGCAAGTTAATTAACCTGTTTGTTTCACCTGTAAAATGGGATCATGAAAACTGCTTCATAGGATTGTTATGAAGATGGATTGTATTATGTTAAATGCTAAAATAATCCCTGGCACAGACTAAACATAGGAAAGTTTCCTCCAGTTATTTTTCTTCCTAGGGTGCTGTGTATGTCTGCCCAGAGCTCCGGCCTATGTCTGCTGGTTTCATCTCTGTCTTACCAGACCATGTATGAACTGCTGAGGGCAGGGTCTCCCTTTTCTACTTCAGCAGTCACCCCCACCTCTCGCCCCCAACATAGTGTGGCTAAACCAGGGCCCAGAGGAGGGTACTGGGATGTGCTTACAGTTATCAAATGAAACTGCTGCTAGAAGATTGAAGCACAAGATTTTCCTCTGTCTTTGCATTTGTAGACTAGCTGAGACACTGAGAGTAACATAGGGAGCAAAGAAAAACAGGTCCTGCATCTTGGGCACCTGCTGTACTTACTTCTGGAGATCAGGGAAAGGCTTGCTGATATGCACTGGAGAGACAGAAAAGGGCTTTCTCATGAAATGATCCTTTAACCGGCCCAGACCTCCAGCTAGAAGTGAGGTGGAGTGGGGTGTGTGGGGAGGAAGCAGGCTCAGTCCGGTGCTGAGTGCGTGATGACAAATGGTAGAGTTAGGGCTGGGGAGATGGGGAAGAGGCCTAAGGAGAAAGACAACATAACATACCCTCTCCTTCCACAGCAGGCTTCCCCTTTCCTCCATCTCAATCTTGGGAGACCCCAGAGTTTGAGCATCAGAAACCCTGGATCCAGAAGGCCTGGCCTCAGAATCTGGCTCTGCCACTTACTAGCAGTGTGGACTTGGGCGTACCATTTACGCTCCCAGAGCCTCAGTTTGGTCATCTGCTAAATGGGGACAAGAATACCACCTACTTTGCATGTTTTTTGGGAGGACTGAATGCCTGTAAAGCATTCAGCACTGCCTGGGCCCCAGTAAGTGGGGCATGCTCTTACTGTTTTCTAGGCAGACTTTGCCACCAATGTCAGTGCTGGAGTCCGGCTGGCCCCACGGAGGGGAGAACCTCAGCCCCTGGGAGCCAGACACATCGGCTGACTCAGACAATGACCCCGGCCACCTGCCAGAGGACGACTCTGACCTGCTCTGTGTGCAGGCGGTAGGAGTCCCGCCCTTCCCTCTGAGACCAACATGTGGCCCATCCTTTGGCCCTCTGCCCACTTCCAGCACCTGGGAGGTCAGTTAGCCTTTGTGCTCATCCTCTCGTGGCCCTTTCTCCTTGCAGGAGTCCTCATCTCTGCAGCCCCCACAGGACCGGGGGTTCACCTTTAAATTTATTCACTCTCCTAGGGGGTCTGTGTCGTCAGGGACCCTCAGAAGTTGTAGAGCTAAGAGGTGGGGAGGTGGGGAAGAAGGCTCCCTGGAAAGCAACATGCCCTCTCCTCCCATGGCGGGCTTCCTCTTTCCTCCATCCCAACTTCAGGAAACCCCAGAGCTTGAGTTTCAGAAACCCTGGAGCCAGAAGGAGATGACTTCAAGCACAAAAAGGGAAGCTGGTTGGGAGGCTGGGCCTCCTCATCCTCCCTCGAGCAGTCCACAAATGCGGAGTGGATCAGCTGTCGTGATCTGGAAGGAGAATCTTCCCAGTGGAGGGGGGCGGGTAGGGGGCTGGTGCTAGGCAGTTGTTCCAGATTAGAGGAGAGGTGGCAATGAGGGGAGGGCAGAAAGGGGGAAGAAGGGAGAGACTAAGCTCCACTCCTCCGCACTGTGTCTCCTTAGGATCCAGAAGTTATGAGCTTGGGCCACCCTGGCCTGGACACTGACAGAATCCCCAACTGGCCTGGGCTTCGGGCCCTCCTGCAGCAGCTCCCTCCACAGGATAGTGATGTGGGTCCCCCTCTTTGCAGCTTCTCCCTTTCTTGCCTCCTCTCTATTTATGAGGGAAGAACCCTGAACCAGGAGACAGGGCACATGAACTTAAGGCCTAACTATGCCACTGACTGAGGGAAGCCATCCTCCCTCGCCGGCTTTCTCATGTACAATGGGTGTGCTGCCAGCTCTGCCCACCACATGGCCTGGTTGAGGAACAAATGAGCAAATGGACATGGCCGGCTTTGGAAGCTGATAATGGAACGTACAAATGTAGAATATGGTTGTTAGTATTTATTGAAGCCCGAGGTGTGCCAGCCTAAAGGGTTACAATTCAACTGGGGAGGCAAGACAGGAGAATGTGGGCAAAAGAGGGAAACAAAACGGGAAGGGATGCTGAGCAGGCTGGGTGCTGTGAGCTGTCAGCAACTGAGAGAAGTGGAGAGAAGAGAGAGGGAGGTAGGCTTTCAGCTCTTTTCCCTCTCTCCCTCTCCTTCTTGGTGCCCTTCTGTGCAGTCATCTCCTGCAGCTCCCCAAGGTGACAACCCTCCTTTGACCCAGCATCTAAGCCTTTTCTCTCCATTCAAACTTAAATCTTGCCTGCTGGGGTGGGGGTGGGGGCTCCCAGTCACCGTGGAGGCCTGTTTCTGCAGGAGCGCTATTGTCTGGCCCTTGGGGAGGAGGAACTGGCAGAGCTGCGGCTCTTCTGTGCCCAAAGGAGGCGGGATGCCCTGGGAGAAGGGGTGGCCCGCCTGGTAGCTCCCAAGCTGGAAGAACACACCTGTGAGAAGGTATTTAAACCCTGGGCTCCCCCACACCCTCTTCCTCCACTCTTTGCCCTGCAGAAGGGGCTAGTTTCTGGAACTCTGGTGGGAAAAAAGGGATTTGGGGATTGACAACTTGAAAGACTCTAGGGAAGAGGGAAACCAAGTAAAGGTGGGCTTACCAGGGGCATGGGGAGAACAGTTAGGTTGGGGTTGGAAAGAGCCAGGAGGGAACCTAGGAGGGTGGTGTCCCCTCTGACCAGCCTAGCACCCCCACTTGGCAGTGTAGGGAACGGCTGAGGCCAGGGGAGTACGGAGTGTTCACAGCACGGGCAGGAGAGCGGTACTGCTGGCACCAGGCTTGCTTTGCCTGCCAGGCATGTGGCCAGGCCCTGATAAAGCTGATCTACTTCTACCGCGACGGGCGTCTCTACTGTGGCCGTCATCACGCAGAGCTGCTGCGACCTCGCTGCCCAGCTTGTGACCAGGTATGGCCTTGGAGAGGGGGGCAGATGTGGAGGGAGTCTGTCCAGGGTCCCAGGATGTAAGGGAACCCCCACCTGGCGCCCCCTCTCCTAGTACTGATAGTCTGATAGGGACAACTAGGAACGGGCCAGACACCATTGTGTTCCATGTGCTCTGACTCAAGCTCTGGACATGGACAAGAGGGGCTGTTGCCTCTATGCACGCCCCCACCCCAAGCAGAGTCCTCCCAGATTTTCTTGGAATGAAAGAATCCTCTGGAACAGGGACTCTTGGACGTTCATCTCAGTATGCTGGGTGCCCAGCGCTATGCCTGATCCTGGGAAAAATGCCCTGACTGTCAGCATAAGAAACAGTGCAGAACCCTGGGCTGGGAGTCCAGGCCACTCAGTCGCACTTCCGGCGGTACCACCTGCTAGCTGGGCGATCCTAGCTAAGCCAATCAGCCCTCCCTGCGTTTGAGAGTGGTTGAGCACATCAAACGTGCTTTCAGCGTTAACTGGGTATCAGACGTGGCCATTGGATGAATGAATGAATGAATCAATGACTGGATGGATGGATGGATGGATGGATGGATGAATGGATGAATGCATGAGCGAGCCATTCCCCTCTCCCTCTCCCAGCTGATCTTCTCCTCGCGATGCACCGAGGCGGAGGGACGGCGCTGGCACGAGAACCACTTCTGCTGCCAGGACTGCGCCGGGCCCTTGGGCGGGGGACGTTATGCCCTGCCGGGGGGCGGCCCCTGCTGCCCCAGCTGTTTTGAGAGTCGCTATTCGGATGCCGGCTCGAGCCCGGCCCCGACACTGGAAAGAAGGGCGTCCCTTGGTAAGGGAGAAGGTGCAGATAAAAGGGGAAGGGGGCAGCGGCTTGGGCTGGGCTGAGAAGGGGGTTCTCTTGGGCTGAGACCCTCGCCCCGGCCCCACGCCTTCCCGTCCCTCCAGCAGCGCCCCCATACCCCCGCCGCACCTCCCAGACCCGAGTCTCGGGGCCCGCAGCTCTCACCGCGCGTCCCTGGCCGGAGCGCTCCAAGGGCCTCCGGAACCCACCCGGTGCGGCTGCTGGGGCTGCGGCGCGGGACTAGCTCCAGTACCGGGGCCGCGGCCGCCCTCTGGTGGGCGGAGGTGGGGCGGCGCGGGGGAGCCCCGCCGAGGACTCGCGCGGCGCGCAGGGCCCGGGGGCGGGGCAGGCCGGCTGGGTGGGACCCAACCCGGGCCGCCGCCGTGGGTCGCCCCTCCCGGACCTGAGGACCGGGCGTTTCTGACCTGGCCTGGAATCGGGAAGGCGGGGTGACCGAGCGCCCGGCTGAGCGCTGCGACCATCTCCCGAGCAGCCCTTCTCACCGCTGCCGCCAGCGCCAGCCCGGAAGCCCGAAGGGGTCCGCTTGGATCAAGCGCGGAGCAGGAGTCTCCAGATGGGGACAAGGCGGCGGCACCCAAAGGACGGGAGCAGGCCTGCCGGGAGGTGTCCCTCGAGCCCAAGGAGGTCGCCCCCTGTCCCACCTGCTCCTCTTCCTCTGACTCGGAACCCGAAGGCTTTTTCTTGGGTCAGCGCCTCCCCCAGCCCGGGAAGACGCCCGGAGCCCTCCGCGCTGGGGACAGCGACACCCCCAGGAAACTCTGCACTGTTTGCTAGTGGCGCAGCCCGGAGACCGGGCGGGGGGGGGGGGGTGCGGGGGTGCGAAGGGGCGATGTTTGTAAGGTGGGAACTCGTGGCTCTCCTGTAAAAATCCTAGACTGAACGCCGTCAGGGGCACCCCGGGGAGAGGTGGCGAGATGAGAAGCTTGAATGCCGCCGCCGGCGTATTCTGGGGCCTCAGATGGAGACTTTGAGGGGAAGCCCAGTCCCTAAAGCCACGCGTCCCCTGCCCACCCCTCCTCCCAGCCCGAGATCCCCCTTCTAAACCAGTGCAGTAATGTCTCAGGAGGCCATATGGGACGGTGACCGGCCTGGCGAGCCCACGGTCAGGCGGGAGTCGCACTTGGAACGCGCAGCCAGGGCCCTGCACAGCCGGGACGTGCTCCTCTGGCGGAACTCGGGCGCGCAGCCCCGCAGCTCTTTTCGGGACATCGGACTCAACTCGAGCGCTGCGCCCTCTGCCGGCAGGCAGCTGGCGGAAGTACGGGCCGGAAGTCGCGTCATCCGCCGGCGACGTTCGTCCTGTGAGGCCTGGCGGAGCCCGAACGTGCTGCTATGGCTTCCAGTGGGGTCGGCGTGAACTCTGTAGGCTCGGCAAATGAAGGTCCCGAAATCCCGGACAACGTGGGCGACTGGCTTCGGGGTGTCTATCGCTTCGCCACCGATAGGAATGATTTCCGGAGGTAACCGAGACCCTGGCCCCTCCTAAATCCCCCGACCCATGTTTCCTTTCTTCGCCGAGGCCGGCGCCTCCGGGTTCTTCATGCCGCCAGCATCTTGGCTTCTTAGTGGCTCTGGTTGTGCTTTGCTAGGTATTTTGCTGGGAGAGTTCCCGTGCGTGCGGCAAAAGCGATCTTTGCAGGCTTTGTTGGTGAATCTCATCGTGACCCGAGAAGAGGAGACTGCAGCACACAAATGGGCTTTACAGGCCAGGACGAGTCTTTAATTGGTCTTTGCATTTGAACCTGTTAGACACAGACACAAACTCTGAACTACCATGTGGGTCTTGGGCAACTGAAATTCTATAAGTGTTGTGTTGTTTTTTTATTGCCTCGGGAAGATTGTTTCAGGGTGGTGATGGGGTCTTTTCCTCCAGTATCTTTAAAGACAAGTCACGTGCCTCCCCGGCGGCGCAGCGGTTGAGCGCTGGGTTGCGAAGCTGCCCGCAGCCTCTGCAGCGCCGGTTCGATCCCTGGCTGCTCCCCGGCCACCGGAGGAGGGTCCCACATGGCGCGCAGACCTCTCCTGCCGCCCGCTGCTCCCCTCAGCAGTGTACTTCGGTCCTTCTGCCTGCTCTGCTCCCTGCTCTGACTCTGGTGAATTCTCACCCTCCCGGGCTTCTGACTGTACCCAGTGCTTGTATAAATAAATAAATCTTAAAAAAAAAAATTACAGGAAAAAAAAGATTTTAAAGACAAGTCACTCAGAGACCAGAGGGCTAATGGAATGCATTCTTTTCCCAGGAACTTGATCCTGAATTTAGGGCTTTTTGCAGCGGGCGTTTGGCTAGCCAGGAATTTGAGTGACATTGACCTAATGGCACCTCAACCAGGGGTGTAGTAAGTAGGTAAGCCCAACCTACGCGCTGTGTCTTGGGAGTCATAGGGGCTTAATGGGAGAGGAAATAATTTATATCAATTACAAAATGCATAAGAGACTCTAAAACCCTACTTAAATATTCCTACTTAAATGTGTTTCCAGACTTTGCAAAGGATTTGTCTATTAATTTACCTCCAGTGCTTTTGCATTTCTGATGCCACCTGTTGTTCTGTCCTGATTGCAGATACATGGAACCCCTGTCCTGTGTCCCAGCCTTCCAGACAGAGCCACCAATCTGTGACCCGCACAGACTTGTCTGATGGAAGCTGAAGTTGGATTCAGACAGGCACCTTCCTTTTCTCCACTGAGTCCATTCAGAACTTCACTCGGTCAGCAGACTTCGACTAAAGTGTTGTCCTCTGTTCTGTAAAGTTCTGTACATAGTTCCCAAGTTTCTCCAAGGGGTGCTCTTTGTTTTTATGCTGAGGAATAATCCTAATGGTATTTAACAAATATTTGAAATAAAGATTGGATGCAAAGACAGCCGTTTTATTTTTTTAATAAGAAACTTCAGCTTACAAAAACAAGGTGTAAAAAGATTTACAAAAATCATAAAAACATGATTTAGATTTCACAATCAAAAGAGACAGGAACAAGCCCCAAACATGGATTGTAACAGGAGTGGTTTGCTTTATATTAAAAGAAAAAAAGGAGAAACTGTAATCACCATACGTTGATGTTAACATAGGATGAAGCTTATTCTTGAGTTTCCATTTTTGAGCAGTATTAGGGAAGAAGCCATTTGTGGTGTTGCATAGCATATTAGTGCACCAGGTGGATTTTCCAGGCACTAGAGAGGCAATGGTTGATGTAATAGAGTGGACTTGTTAGGAGAAAGAGGGCAGTTATGTGCAGGTAGAGGCAAGGTGTGTGAGTAAGCCTGGGTGATGGGCACTAAAGTGACACTGCTTGAGGAAGCTGCTTCCTTCATGAACTAACAGATGCTTTCTGACTCTTTGGAAATGGAATATGTAGGAACTGACATGGAAACATTCATTTAGGTAGGCTTAAGAAAGATGTGCAGATATAAAGAGGTCCCTCTTGGCAAATTTCTCTGGCTTACTTACTCTGTTAAGCATTTTTAAATACTGCTTTTCTATGCCAAGTCTCCTATAGAACTGGTATGGAATGATAAAAGGACATGAATAGGAAAGGGCGGGTCAATACAAATGCATAATTGTTACGGCTGACAGCTGTTATATCTAGCAATCTATTCACTGAAGGTAGTAGGACAAAATAGTCCTTTTTTGACCCTGCAGGTATAAGAAAGCTGTTTGGGAATTAGATTTTTAAAATTTTTTTTTTTTTTCCCCCAAAAAAGCACCATTCTCTTGTGAGTTTTAATCAGATATTCCCTATTTGGTAGGAGGAAGGACTCCGAATTCAGGCCACTGTCTGGCCTGTCACGAAGCAGAGACTCTAAGAATGTCCCCTGCGATCACAAATGCACAGGTTTATATCTTATTGGGTGTTTGGAGGGGGAAGGGTTATACACATGAGAGCAAGGCTTAGGTGAAGTCATCACCACCCCTCCTCCCACCAATGGTGACCAGAAGGGAATCAGATTCTAAGTCCCTTCAGACCTGCATCACAATGATGCTACGACAAATACCAGCACCTCCCTGAATGTACTCAATTGTGAACAGGCCTGTTTGATAAAAATTTTCCAAGTTTAAAACCAGAACCCAACAGAAATTAAGACTGGTAGCTTCCAAAAGCATAATTCAAATTTCACTCAAAATTTAATTTTTAGCTTTAAGTAATAATGTTTTCTAGTGGTTTATAAAGCCATAGTGCAGGTAAGGTAAAGTTGGCTTGATTTCTCAAAGTGGTAAGAATTGCAAATACAGCTACCAAGTCTACAGTTTCCAAAAATTCTGATGAATAATCATTCTGTAAATGAAAGGCTGGCTTTCACCATTTAAACACATAACATTCTCCTGAAGTTGGTTTTACACCTGTCATGCAGTTTGAGCCATGGCTAATGACCATGTAATGCTATGACGATCTCTTACATGGTCTATTTACATTTTAAATGGGAATGTGGCAGCAGAAGTAGGAATGAAAGGAGCCCACAAAAATGACCATGTGCCTCAATGCTGTAGAAAACTATGATGTATTTAGAGCAGTATGTGGGTTGAACAAGTACACAGTTGTCAAAAGTCAGAGACCAAGAGAATGGTTAATTTAAATGTGGAAGACAAACTAAACTCACAGTCATATTTAGAAGGCGCTTTTCTTTTCAGCTTTGGTGCTGACTTCAAAAAAGAATCTGAACCACCAGGGAGATGCATACTTACTGGTAAAAACTAAGTGGACATGGGAGGTTTTATTCCAAAGATACAACCTCCTCACCTAATTAGGCTTGAGGACCCAATTATCAAGTGTGCTTCAGTGGTGAGTTTTTAAAATACCCTTTGGTGAAGTCTCATGAGCTCAGTGGAAACAGTTAAGGTTTGAGTAAAGGAACATGCTGTAAACAGCCCTGCAGGTGAGCAGACTGGGTTGCAGCCCCTTCCACAGCTGCTCAGCACCATCCCAGTCAGCACCTGCCAGGGAAAGGTCTGGGGGGCTGGGACATGTTTTTGGAGCCTTCTCTTTTTCATATTACACAGTGCACTGGCTTGCCTTACAATCTAAAGGTTCACATATAGGGGATTGTGTTCTACACCACTTCCTGAAATTTTGTGCAAAAGAACTAATGAATACTAACTACTTCAGCAGGAACCATTTTTGACTTCTACCATAAATTGCCCAGCATTAGAAAAATTAAAATGCCTTTTCTGAACGTCTGTGCTCACCCATCCAGCTGGAAAAGCAATCCTTCCACTCAAATTACAGCTCCGGACTAGGATTTAGTCTACGTTTAGGAAGAGAGAGCCCTTCCAGCCTGATTGGAAAAGGCCTAGGTTAGTTAATGTCTGTAACATAAAGGGGTGGTGAATAGAATGGGATGCATAGTCTGCCTTGAAAAGCAGCCATTTGATGAATAATCACAAAGATTCTGGACATTACAGTAAAATTTCAGAACTTGCTGGTAAGTTAATTTGCTTTCACACACAAGAGATACGAAATGCTTTTAAAAAGTCTGATACCAATCCTCTACACTGTACAGACTTGTCTGCCACTTGACATGACAAGGAGTCCTTCCCTTAATCTTCAATCCCATGCAAACCATAATTGGGTACAAGGCACCAAATGTTATGAATTGTATAAAATTAGTTCACAAAGCTTTATTGGCAAGTAAAACAAACTCCATTTCTTCCTCCTTTGCCTGCCTACCCGCATCCCACCCCCACCCTCCCCCCATTACCAAGTTTTCATTCTGCACTACTGTCAACCTCAGGCTTACACTGGGGCCTGGCTAGGGGCCATGCTCCACTGCCAGTCAATCAACACATTAGTTCTTGCACTTGGATGGCACTGTAAGCACAGCTAAATAGGGAACTCACACAATCATTACTCTAGAAGCCTTGCTAGTAAAAAGAAAAATAAACTCTGATATTGAGTCCATAGGACACATTAAACTTCTACAGTTTCCAATTTTATTCATGACATTTTAAGAGACATCTGGAAATTCTTTATAATGTGGCACTGCCCACCCTCAGCCTGAGGGGCTGGATCAAAGCTGGCAAGAGCTCTGCCTACCATTTAATAAGAGCTTCTGTTCCTGGCTATTAAGGGCTTTCCTAATGTTTTTCACACTAGCATGGATGCTCATCTCAGAGCCAACCACAAGTATGAGGGTTAAGCTAGTTTGAGGTAAAACACCCTTTTTGAGAGCCAGGGTGCATTCATCTTGGCTGGCTAGAGTAGAAAGTAAACACACCAGCCAACTATGAAGGGTTCCTGGAGTAGGACCTAACTAATCTGGGAGAGAAAGAGGCCCACAAGCTTCAGTGACGAGATCTGGGCTTTGATTTGGCAGCATCTAGTCAGCTTCTATCTGGTTCTTACTTTCTTCTTAGAATGTTTCAATTTAAAGTAAGATGCAACTAAGGAACTTGTACTTGGAATGTATATAAATTAAAGGCAAGGGGAATGTCCCTCAAAACAGCCATTGGCTTATGCAGTAGGGAATTGTAATAAAATCTCCGTTAAGTACTAAATCCTCAAGAGCATTCAGTGCCGCTACCTCTGGTTCCTGAGGTGTCTGGGACCGCAGGGGCACCTTCGTGAGTGTGCTACTCAGGGAGGGCGCTAGCACTGGCTTCTCTTCCAACTCACTTTGAATGATTTCATTAATTTGATCCATGGATGCTCAGCTAAGTTAAGCATTTATCTTACAAAGTCTGCTTAATAATCCTTATAATGTTTGGTATAAAACTATTTTTAAAAATTAAATTTGAAGATATTCTAATTTTCCATTAATGTCCATTTTTAAGGGTTTCACCCAGACAGCTGGAGGGATGAAGTAGATGCTCTATTAGTTCTCCACTTGTAAGTTCTCTTTTTTCTAGAATAATAAATACAGCACTCACTGAAAGATGAAGCACACTCCCCCCCCCCGCCCCACCTTCACCTTTTCTTTTTTACTCTCCTTATTTTTTTGTTATTAATTCACGGGCTTTTCTATTGCCACAAAAAAAGTCATCACCAACATAAAATGCCAACATAAAAATGCGGATCTAGAGAATAGAGCCTCACATCAGAGCCTCTGGCAGCATGGGCAACAGCTGTGACACTTTAAAACAGTGTCCAGGAGACGGTGAGCCCGGGCCACACTTGTATAAAGAAGCCTGCAGTAGACAATATAAACCAAACAGCATAAAAAATGCCATACACTATCGCTTCCAAATAAAAGCTAAATATTACAGAAACCTCACAGTGTTGGAAAAAGCAAGTTTAATTTAAAATATAGTCACTCCCCCACTCCTGTCAGGGTAAGCCATTTTCTGTCTGAATTTCCTCCAGGTCTCAGTGCTGTCTGGCAGTCCTGTGGAGAGTTCATCTCAAAAGAGGTTAACAGCAAATGCTGCAGCTCTCCTCAGGAAATGTGGCTCAACAACATCACTAAAGCTACGTTCCTCATTTTTCAGCCACTTTAGCCGCTCTTTTCCCAACTTCCCACCCCTCCCCAAACTCCCTTCCACATCTACTCCCTTCAAGTGACAACTGTATTTCTACCTGAATTGAAATATAATATGGTAAGCTCAGTCAAAAGATGAGCATTCAAAGTGATGGGCTGAGACAGGCTGCCACAACCCCACAATGAGTTATGGTCTGCATTACACTGCAAGTCTAAGAGAAGGATTGAAAGGGGTTGAGTAGGGCAATTCCATGGAGGAGAGTTTCTATCTGGGTAGTTTCATCCCACTTAGAAAACTGACCCAGTTTACAAAGAAAGGTACATTTTATAGCCTTGAGTAAAGAACAGGGCACTCTTGCTTTTTTCTCTGATGGCCTGAGTGTGGGTGGATAAAGAAACAGCAGGAATTATCATATTTGGGAGGAAATAGGCCAGGGCCATCAGCAAGAAACTGGTGGGGCATATTCCTAAACAACTTCCAGGCTCCAGGAAAGCAAAAACTCTAAATCTTGCATAAATAAGAAAGTTCAGCTCTCCAGGAGCAGAAAAAAGCTGTAACATGCGGAACCAAGGTGAGAAGGGTGATAGGCATTCAGATAAGCGTTGGACCACCCACTATCCTGGCCCACCCGCCCCACCTTCAAGCCTCAGACAACTGACCTAATGACCATTTAAGGCAAATCATGTGCTTGCCGTAGACCTGACCTAGGAACGTACTAAAGAATTGGGTAGTCAGCAGTGCCCTTAGGTTCAGCATGCACAAAGTATATGTCCCCATATGAACTGTTCCTCCTTTAGAACAAAGGGATGTTCGTGCCAGTCTCAGAAGATTTGGAGTGATTAAGTAACAGTAGTAGCCAAGGAGAGTTATGACATGTGAAAAAACTCCCATTTTGCATGGGGAACTTTGCTCCATGCATCTCACTCCCCTCTTCAACCCTATCCTCTGGAAAAGGAAGTCTGCAAGTTTTCAACTCTTGAGGGTTACTTCCTTTGTAGGAATAAATCCTTAGCCTTTATCAACCACCTTGGAACCACCTTTAACCAGCAAGTTGCCAATCCAGGGTCCCTCCTCACATGCTCTGTCCTGAGCTGCTCAAATCAGGAGGGTTCTGCTACCGCTGCAAAGAAGTCCCAATTAGTAGGTGACTCATATAAATGGAAAGAAAACACGGCTGCACACCTGGCTGGATGTTATCAATTTACCCCCTCCCCCACTCAGATCCCTCCAGGTTTAGAAGCAACTAATGAAAGAACCTTCATAGAAGTTACTCCATTTGATTTGTTTTATCAAAGGAGGGAATTTTCAAATTCATTCAAAAGTAAGTCACAAATTTTATGATAGGATATGAGTCACCTGGTACCTTCTGTTCTAGACCCACCAAGGCAAACCTAGTAATCTGTTACTGCAGTAAACCTTATTTCCTATACCAGGAAACATGTACAGACACAATAGTTTAAAAGCAAGCCAGTTCTTGACAATTGTCTCCCATTCATGGGTAGGTCCGTGGTCTGCCCTCATTGCTGTGGCTAGGTTGCACCTGAGCTTGAAGTTGGGTTTCTGAGATTCTTGCATTGCCCTGAACTGTTCTTTGAGTGTAAAAAAGGATGTAGGCTTGAGTTTTGCACACTTCCTCGACACTGCACACATTCAGCTTTGAGTCATTGCAGTGAACCCAAAAACCTAGGAAACCAGAGAAAAGAAAGAAAATGACTGCCCAACATATATTTCCAATCAGCAAGCAAAACCAGAAGATGATGAAAGGACAGAGGAGTTCTGAATAGAGCCAACCCTTGCTTATAAGTGTGGGGGAGAGACAAGTAAATGAAACTAAGAGACTTCCCTGTCTGGCTCTACCCCCACCACAATACTGCTTACCAGACCCACTGACTTGGAATTTTTGTCTTGTTTTACTTGGGCTTTTTTAGTGCCCATTAGAGCCTTCTATGACTGGCAGCTGAGAAATGGGAAGAGGCAGAGGAAGAGGGAAAATGTAAACAGAGGGATGTGATAAGGAAAATTTAGAAGGAATAAAGTTATTTATCCATAGGCTCACCCTGGCTGTCCCAAGGGCTGAGTTCGAGATCTGCACTCCACTGAAAACACACCTGCAGCAGACCTGCCTCAGTGCAGCAGCTAGGAGGCTCTGCTCTAGGGGATCGTGCTGTGGGGATGGGGTGGGGTGTATGTGGAGGGGGCAGTAAAAGGGGTGGGTGTATCCCCACACATTCCATGGTAAAGGAGGTAGTAGGACTTAGTGCTCAGGCTCAGTAATATCCTTAGCTTTATTATGAGCTGAGGCGAGTGAGCTTCATCGAATGTCTCCATGAGGTCCATGGTCTCACTGTTTCTACATAACCAAGAAAGAAACTGAAGTGCGCAGCAGAGTCAGTAATAACAATATAATCTCTAGCACTGAGCATTATGTGATAGGCACCATGTGTTGTTCCCTCTTAGAACAATCTTATATTGTTATTTAGTGATATATCCCAAATTGGAATCCAACATTCATAATTTTAATGAAATTTTCCATGGATTTTAATGTAATTTTCCCCTATAGCTAACCCGTGGGATTGAAATAAAAGGAAAGTAATGAAATGTGGACAAACCAACCCTTTTCCGTGTCCCCCACCCCACAGAGTAAAGCGCACGCACCTCCCTCTGTGTTGTAGCAATAGGCTGTGTAGTGTCCTGAGCCAAACCCTTTCCCGTGATGCATGACCACTGCGGAGAGATCATAGGCAAAGGTCTCTTTGTCAAGAGAGGAGAGCATGTCCCTGCAGCAGTAAGGTTCCATGGTTAATACCTGGTCAAAGACGACATGGACCCCAATCTTCTCTCGATGATTACGGCCAGACCACCTAGACGTGGATATAAACTTATACTAGTAAAAAATGGCATATGTGATCACAGTTATAGGTAAAACAGGGAGCTGAGAAAACTTAACCTTCTGGCTTTGGATTTTGCGTCAGTGAAACAATGGCCATCAATGTTGACATATATTTCCTATGACTGTTAACCATGATGAACTCTGAAACTAGAAATCCCTGAACAAGCAATTCAGGCAACAATCATTTTGTAGTTTATTGGTTCCCCCCCTTCTTTCCACAGATTACATCATACTTTATCCTGAAGATGACTTTATGTAAGCCTCAAAGGAACATCCCAAACTTGAAGAACATCTTCAAGCACAGACACAGGAGCCGGCTAGCCAACTAAAAAGGGTATGGGAGTGGAAGCCCAGTCTACTGGACCCAAAGGGGCAGGAAGCATTTACTCTCCATAAAAAGCACAAGGTCTCCAGGGAACAGGCCTCTTCCCACCAACAAATACAACATCTCCCTCAACCAAAGCTTTTGCACCAAAGCGTTTCCCACCGTTCACAGAGCAAGCTCACCTGAATCTTTTAAGGTGCAGTCGGAGAACCTGAGGTAGTCTGTAGATCATTAACTGCTTTCTAGCTTCACTCAGAACAAGGGGTTTTGGATTGGATTTTCGTCGTTTGCCTATATGGTTTGGGAAAGTATAAGATAGATTGTGAGGAGTCTCATTCTTTCCCAACTGTTGCAGAGACAATGATTTGCATTCTCCTTATTTTTGAGTGTTTGAACCTCAGTTTGATGTGGGGCAACAAAGTGACCCTTGGTAAGATTGCCATTTTTCAGTGCCACACATCTGCGTGGTGTGGCCATGGTAGTTCTAGCTGAGATGAAAGGAATGACTGTTGTGACAGTCTTGGGATAGCTGTTTAAAGAAGGCTGATGGGGGGGCCTCCCCGGTGGCGCGGCAGTTGAGCTCTGGGTTGCGAAGCTGCCCGCAGCCTCTGCAGCGCCGGTTGGATCCCAAGCCGCCAGGCGAGGGTCCCACATGGCGCACAGATCTCTCTGCCATGCCCGCTGCTCCCCTCAGCAGTGTACTTCGTCACTCTGTTCTACTCTCCCCTCTGGCTCTGGTGAATTCTCTCACCCTCCCTCCCACGCCTCTGACTGTACCCAGTGCTTGTATAAATAAATAAATAAATCATTTAAAAAAAAATAAATTAAAGAAGGCTGATGGTTTGTCCTTTCCATTGTTTGCAACATCTAGAACTCACAGACCATGAGGTAGCCTAAGGATGGAAGCTTTGAACTAGGATAGTAGAGGAGAATAGCGAGGAATTAGGCTCCCTCATTGCCAAGCAGCCACAATGACAGCCCTGACTATCATTCAGACAGCTTTTACATAGCTGGGGAAAAATTATGTTTAAGTCACTGAAGTTTGAGTTGACTTCTAAGAAACCAAACCTAATCCTGACATATCTAATCTACTCAGTTTCTGCCATCAGCAACTTCCAAAACTGGTATGCGTTTAGGATGACATCATAGATTTATTAATGGAATATAGTGGAAGATCACTGTGACAATACACACATACAGTGGATGCATGTTAGGATTCTATGCCTTTATGTATCTACAGGCTTATAACTGAAATTATGATGTATCAATTTTATATTAAAAAGCATTTGTTTTCATCAGATAGACACAATTTTATTTTCAGCTCATAGCTAGTTGTATACTATTGGTCAAGTTATTCAAAACTTTGAACCTCAGTTTCCTCTCCAGTAAAATGGGGAAGGATACATATATTTCAGGTAAGACCAGGCTAAAGGAAAGAGTATTTAAACAGATTTTTTTTACAGCATGATTTGCTTGTGGTAGATATAAATATTTAGAAAAGGCTCTTTGCTGGTTTTATATTTTATGTACCTAATTTTTGAAACACATTTCTTGAATAAAAGCATACTACTAGACATTCAGGGCAATGCAGACAGGTTGGTCAAATACACCTAGTCCAAAACAGAATCAGTGCTGAGACTCCAATTTTGTTTGTAAAGCTACTGAATTGTGGAGGAAATGCATTTCTAAATTACAGCATATAAACAATGGAATGAAGTTCTCTTAATTCCCATCAGAAGCATTCTCTCTATAACCACTTAGTGATGACTGCTCTGCTATAGTAACAATTAAATCAATGAATGGATGAGAATATAAAATTAGTGGTCCACTGTGGTGCCTGCTGATTGGCATCACGAGCTATTGATATCATGGTCTCAGTGTCTGAAGAACTTGGAATCTAATTCCAAGTCCTGCCTGTACCACTTGTGAAAGGTAGCAAATCACTGCCAGATGATGTATCATGGTGAGTTCTGTGACAACAGGATGTGGAGCTGCTGCTTCTCATAATAGGTTGTGGCAGACTGAGGGTGCCATAGAAGCTTTTACTGTGGCTGGCAGTCATGATAGGTGGGGGCATGAACAGAAAGGGAATTCAAAGAGGGGCCTGCCTTAATTTTACATTCCCATTTACCAGCAGATTTTTTATTGCAGCTCTGCTTGGGAACTGGTAGTGACTGCCACACTCAGCAGAGGGAGTATGTGAGCTAAGATGAAGACAATATAGAATCCGGCTTTGTTTCCCTAAAATGAAATTCACAAAGAAAAAGAAATTACTGATTCAATTGAGATTGATCAGTTCTGTCTCCGTTTGATTAAGCTGGTCACACAGAGAGGTAGAAGACTGATTGTTTTGAAATTTCACAAGCATAGAATGCATCTGGTCCCTTTTCCATAGATTCCCTTCACTGTTGCTATTTGAACTTGCCTGGAGAAATCCTGATAAATTGGCACATCTGGCAACCAGAAAATCCTTTCTTAGAAAAATAAATACAAGTATTTTTTTGCCCAGTCTATCATGTGCACAAATGATGAAGTTAAAGGTGATAACATCCTTCTATTTTTATAGATTAAAAGCTTTATGAATCACTATTTTAAAGACAAACATATACTGCTGTAATGTAATAATTTAAGTCACCACCTTTATATCTTAATATAGAACAGAACAGGCAGGTCTACCGTTAGCAAGTACAGCATTTCAAAAAAATTTTAAAGTGCAACATGATATTCCTATGACCTTCTCTGAAATGCAAGCTTTCCAGGCATGTGAAGAAACAAACAAATGCAGAAAGTATCCATGGAGGCTGCCTTGGAGGCCCTTGGAAGCTGCGTTGGAGGCCCTTACCTTGCAACTTGCTATCTTTGTCTCATTGTGTCAATCTTTAGCATCACATTAACAGACTTTAAATATACAAAGTACAAAAACACTTTCTGATACCATGCTCCTTAAACAGGCTATGCCATCTGCATTTAGATTAAGGAAGAACTGTCTGTCAGTCTCTATATTCATGAATGTAAGCAGGATCTCCGCAGCACTCTGAAGCTAACAAATCACATTCTTAAGACTCCCTATTTCAAAACACATACTTTCAAATGTTTCCCAACATAACAACTAATGTCAATCACAGCTGGAGTCAAGGGAGACTCCATGGTTGCAGTAACTCCTTGGTTTTGTTTTGCTTTTGAATATGTAATGATCATATGCTTATTTTCATAAGATGGGGGAAAAAATCTTTAAGAGATACTTTAGAACTACTCGATATTATCAGTGCTACTTTTGACTAAAGGAGCAAAAGAAATACCTTACTCTATATTCCAATTGTACCCCCCACACCTCCATCCCACCCCCAGCACTCACTGTTACACTGGTCACATGCGTAGATTCTCCCTTCCAGGGCCTCCGTCTCTGTGAACTTGGCCAGCATCTCGGTGAGCAGGCACTCTGTCTGATTCAAAGGGACAAACCCCTTTTCTATGCAATGATAGCGTTCAGGGAATTCCAGGGACAGATCCCAAAAGGGCTCAATAGTATTGGATTTGTAATTGCATGATACACATGTGACCTAGAATGCAAAGATTGATTTACAGGTTATATAACTTCCATGCTTCCCACATACATCCACTCACTTTACATACTTAAGTGGACCAAAATTAAGTGTATAATTTTCACAAAAAATTAACTATAATAATAAATATAACTAATAAAGAAAATTACAGCCTATCACTTCTAGCAAATATTTCTAACTATGTTATGCAAGCTGGAACTAGAAACATACAGTGGAGATTATTCCCTACCCCTTTCTCTCCTTTCCACAGCATGGCCCACCCTTCGGTGCTGCAGTAGTACAGACTGCAAGTAATTGTGAAGTTGATCATTCAAGGAATCTGGCTGAGCTGGAGAATTTGCAGATCCATCTGCTTCTCCTATCCTCACTCCTTCCTCTTCCAGACTGCTCCTTCCATCCAGTCCAACTTGCCTCTCTTTTGGCCCTTGTTTTTTGCACCTCCCCTACACTTGTATCTGCACAGCCTCAAAGTACAGTCAAGTGTTTCTTGGTGACGTCGTAGTCAATGACTGCATAGACAAAGGAGGTCCCAACAGGCTCGACCATGTAGTCTATGCACGTAAAAGACTATGTCATCTAGGTTTGATATTCAATATATTACAAAGTCACCTTATGATGTGGTTCTCAGAATCTAGCCCTGTGGGGAAGGGACACATGGCTGCACCATGCTATTAGGCCTTCTCTCCCACTATAACCTTCCCAGATGTTCCTTTCTTCCTGTGGAATCTCAGTAAGTAGAGGAAGTGCCTATAAATACTCCCCTTTCAGTTCTACAAAGCAAATCTTTCTCTTTCTGTCCCACTCATCATTCTTTTAAAATCCTAAGTACCAAGACACAAAACTTCAGTAGCATAATGCAGAGGCTTTTTATCTGAATCTCACAAGTTGTGATCTGGATCTCACTTTTTCTGTTAACCCTAGAAATTCTTTTTCTGCATTGTCTCACAAAGGTTATCTATAAACCCTTGCTTATGTCCCTCCCTACAAGGCTAAAGATTCAGGAAATGAAAAGTAATAGGGAATAAGGGAGGCCTGCTAGGCCTTTGGCATCATCCTGGGCATTGAGGCCCCCTTCCTTCCATGGGTACAAAGAATGCCAAGGAAGAAAAAAAATGCCCTTTCAAACTACTGTGGAACCAAGATTATAGGCAAAGCGTTCAAGTTCCTAAGACTGATCAAAGGATGGCATGCCAAAAACGGGTGCTTAGTTGTAATGTGAATATTGTATCATCCATATCATCATAAAGTTAAGGGTGTTCACTGACAATGAAGCGATACGGCAAGTAAAACAAAAAAATCTGCCCAGAAAGAAACAGGAGTGAAGGTCACCAACAAAGCCATCACACCATACAGTGCAACGGAATGTACAGTGGCCACTCTCAGATATGCAAACTTATAGTAAATGGTGGCTTCTCTAGTTAGTCCAATTTGGGGGGGGTGGCATCCACAGGAAGCCAAACCTTAACAATACAAGCCTCCCTCAATATGATGATGGGCAGAGTGGGGGTTAGGGTGGGTACACACCTACCTGACTCAGTAACTGCCCATGAAATATGGTATTCACCACCTTTAAGACCTGTTTGGTGAGCTTTCTCTGGGAGAAGGGGATGAGGATGCGGTGGGTGGTACCCTCAGACTCGAGTTCCTGCTGCACTTTGTGCAACAGTTCGCAGAGAAATTCCTGTGCGTCCTGCTGGTCGTAGCCACGGAAGGCGGGGATCAGACTCCACACGGAGTGAAGCATGGCAAAGGGTGACACCAGGGCCCACTTCCCGGACCACATGACTCGAAAGAGGGTGTGCAGCTCGTGACAGAGGGAAATGTGCTTCGAGCTTGGCTCCTTGTTCTGGATGAGTTCTAGGCTCCTGCTGATGGATGTGCCCCCGTTCAAGCAGAGGCCCTCCCGCCCGCAGGACCCACCCCTGTCGCTCCTGGCCGACAGCTCGGTGGCAGAGCTGCTGGCGGGCCTGCCAGCAAGCGGGGCCTTCCCATTGGTGGCTTTGGAAAACAGTTGTTCCGTCTGGGAAGGGTCGAGGTTCAGAAAACACTCTCGGAACTTCTGGAGATGGCTGAGCACCTGGAGGATGGAGTTCATGTAGCAGGTGTTGCCCAGGTTGCGCAGGCCCGTGACGCCCGGGGCCACAGCGGGCGCGCGCCTCTGCTTGAGGCGGGCCCCAGCGGGCCCGGGCGGCGAGGCGGGGCGCGGGGCCGCGCTGCGGGGCGCGTGGAGCAGCAAGCGCGCACTCTTGCGCGGAGGGGCGCTGGCCAGCTCCTCCAGCAGCCGCCGCTTCACCTCGCGCCGCCGCTGCCGTGCCTCCTCCTTCTTGCGCTGCAGCGCCTCCTCCTGCCGCCGCTGCGCCAGCTTAGCCTGGCCCCGGGAGCTCTTCTCGAACCAGAGCCTCAGCGTCTTGGCCAGTAGGCGCTGGCGCCGGTACCATAGCGCCGTGAGCATCTGCGGCTGTCCCTGAGGAGCGCGTCGTGGCGGGACCGTGTCCTCGCCCGATGCCATGGACCGCAGCGTCCGCCCCCGCCTCACCGGCGGGTTCTGCTTGTGGCCCCTGACAGCCAGGAGGGAGCTTCTCAGCAGCTTCAGGTCTCCCTCGGGGTTATCATTGAGCACGTAGTCTTTGCACAGGTAACAGAACACGTAGAGATCCCGGACCTCCATGGCGAGCGGGTGTCCAGTCTCTTCAAAGTGTTTAAGGGCGTGATCTTCAATGTAGCGGCCGCAGGCCACGTGGGAGCACTTGAGACAAGCCCACACCGACTCGGTGGTTGAGCACTCCCTGCAGCACCACTTCTGAGGGTTCAGGATGGAGTGGTCCTGGGCGAGCCGCAACCGCCCTACATGTTTGCATCTATCCATGTCTTATAGAAGTCTCCACTCTTTCAACCTGGCATGACAGAGCCCCCCCAAAGAGAGAAGAGAAACCTTTCAGTAAAATATTTTCTCAGAAAAAGTTTTGCAACGGGCATTTTCAACTGAATATGCATCAATTTTCAATTCAAAATTGGTTCATTTGGAAGGAAGTTAAAACAGAAAAGCAAATTTGGTATACAGACTTTGGTATAGAGAATTATGGAAGAGCAGTTAAATTCCTTTAAAAAAAACGAAGAATCATAAAATACTGCATGGGGACCTTCATAACAATTTAAAACTTTACATTTCCTCAGCCTTAAATAGTAGTTAATTTTTATGTGAGGCCGATTTGTGTTTCTTAGGAAATGTCACTACCCTTATTCCACGTTGCACCTAACTGGTCATGAGGGTAGGGGTGGGGGCAGGGAAACATATATTCTAACCCACCTCTGAACTGATGATGCCCTGAAAGTGAAAGCCTCTGTATCTGATACTGATCAAGTTCCTGGTTGTGTGCAGAAAGGAACAGGGGGAAAGAAAGAGGAACAAAAGTGGTATTACAAATACTAGCAGAAGAGGGCCTCCCTGGTGGCTCAGTGGTTGAGCACTGGGTTGTGAAGCTCTCTGCAGTGCCGGTTCGATCCCCGGCCATCAGGCGAGGGTCCCACATGGCGCACAGACCTCTCCTGCAGCCCGCTGCTCCCCTCAGCAGTGTACTTCGTCAGTATGCCTGTTCTACTCTCCCCTCTGGCTCTGGTGAATTCTCTCACCCTCCCCCGCCTTTGATTGTACTCAGTGCTTGTATAAATAAATAAATAAATCTAAAAAACAAACAAAGAAAAAACAAATCCTAGTAGAAGAAATGAAGACCCTCAAACCAAAAGGCAATCTAAGATTGCTTTCAATGTATTGCAAAGCATAGATAACAGGATAGCAGAGATCAAAGGTAAGAAAGAGAAATCCTCTGCTGTACAAAGTATCATTTTTATTTTCTTAAGTCCAAAGAACCTGGGCTTCGATCTAAATAATTGTTGATGTGTCTGTTATGGCCTGAATGTTTGTGTACCAAATTCATATGCTAAATTTTATCTCCCAAGAAAGAAGGTGGGAGATGATTACATCATGAATGGGATGAGATGAGCCCTCATGAGTGGGCTAAGTGCCTTCCTTATGAAAGAGCTTCTTCACTCCTCCATCGTAAGAGGACACAGCAAAAAGTTGGAAAGCCATTTGGCTACCAACCAGAAAGCCCACCAGATATGGAGTCTGGTGCCATCATCTTGAACTTCCAGTCTCCAGAACTGTGAGAAATAAATGTTTGTTGCTTACAAGTCAACTAGTCCATGGCATTTTTGTTACAGCATCCCTGAGGAACAAAGACAATGTCTTTTCAAAAAGAACACACATTTTGTAGAAAGGGTAGGAAAACTTTTACCTTCTTTACTGAAAGACTAGGTAAGTAAAAAACAGATCTGGCTCTTAGAACAAGAGATAGTGGCTGCTGGTATTGTACTAGTTAAACAAACTACAGAGACAAGAAAAACCCAAATCTTCCAGATGACAAATATGTGTAAATGTTGTTTTTTTTTTTTAAACAGTAACATACTGAGCTTTTCTTTTCTTTCTTCCCCCCCTAACATTGCTGCTTTGATATTGTTCATCACAGAAACTTAATGAACAATTTTTCGAAGGAAAAGAGGCTAAACAACTACTTTGAAAGATTATTTTTTTATTCATTGGAAACTTGACAGGTTTTTTTAATATCTGTTTTTAAAATTCCCTAAAAGTAGTTCTTATAAAGTGAGCCTATGCCCCTCCATTTCTTACTTTTCATTTCTGTGAGTAATTGCAGTTCTATGTTATGCAGCCATCCAGTGAATTTCTAAGTCCAAATCACTGAGTGGTCCCTTAAACTGGTTTTCCAGATGCCTTTTTTGGGTTGGTTCTATTGCCAAAACCTGCATATGAACCACAGGACCAAATCAATGGTCCTTCCCATTTTTTAATTGCCCATTCCCGGTGGCAGAAGTGCTGTCCTTATGTAAGAAAGCTTCATATCATACAAAGGAAAACAAACTAGATTACCTGCGATCAAGCCACATCGTGCTTTCTCTTCAGTGTTGTCAGGATTTTGTTTTGACTATATTATTTTTGTAATTGTTGTTTTGTTGCTAAGTGCTCTTTAGGTAATTTTTCTATTCCTAACTAGATATAATCTCCTTAACATAGGGGATTATGTGTTATGTGTCTTTTTTAATTCTATTATAATTCTTGCCTTGTAGGTACTTAACCCATAACAGTCAAAAGTGTTCTGTCAGAGTTATCTTCTCACACAGTCCAGAACAGTACTAAGATAACCATATCTGTTTACTTTTCATAGAGCACAGCCAAATCAAAGCACACATATGGAAAAGATGACATGGTAAATTAAAGAAGTTTCTTTTTGCTCACTTATTATACTAATCAAGAATTCAAATTGGGTATACATGAGGCTTACATCCAATTACTAGGGACACAAAAGAAAGTAATGAAAGAATGAAGGGGGGGGGTGGTGGAAAACAGAAGACAGGCAATTCCCAAGTTTCTATTAAATTAGTACTTTCCAAAATGCAATCCCTGAACCACCTGCCAGCATCAGAATTCACTCTTCTATTTACTACAGTTACAGATTTCCTGGTCACAACTCTAAATGCAATGAAAAAGAATCTGGGAGAGGTTCTAAAATCTGCATTTTAAACAAGCCCTACAGAAGAGTCACTTGTATATTAAAATCTTAGAACCATCGTATTAATCCAGTAAATAAGACAGGGATGAAGAATTCATCATAGAAGTCAAAGAAAGAACTTTATTTATAAATTTCTTCCACTTAAACCAACATTATACAATCAAATCTTCTGCAGTGATGGAAATATTCCTTGTCTGTCAAATAATGTATTAACAAGCAGCTATGGACCTCCCTGGTGGCGCAGCGGTTGAGCGCTGGGTTGCGAAGCTGCCCACAGCCTCTGCAGCACCGGTTCGATCCCCGGCCACCAGCGAGTGTCCCACATGGCAGGCAGACCTCTCCTGCCACAGGGGTTAAAGTCTCAGTGCTAACAAGCTATCTCCAGCCACTGTGGCCTGAGTTTGATCCCTAGCCAGGGAGCTACCCACAGGGCATGGCAGACCTCTCCTGTCTCACTCCCTGCTTCCTTCAGCAGTGCATTTCAGTAGATTCACCTGTTCTGCTCCCCACTCTATCTCTGATGAATCCTCTTACCCCCCCCCCACACCTCTGGCCTACACCTTAGTTCTCATATGCATAAATAAAAAAATAAATCTTATTTAAAAAAAGAGATTTCAAAGATTAATAACTAGACTTGGTTTGTTTGCACAGCCATATATCTAAACTTAACTGAGTCACAAAATTAAGAAAAAAAAAAATAGGCAAAAAGATATCCAGGGAATTAGTCTCAGGTAAAAGACAAATGTAAGGGGAAATTTTTTTTTCCTGGAACATAAATTTAAGTTTAGAAAAGCTTTTTCAATAACCTGAAGACTGTTAGGGGTCAAATTTCATGAAAAATAATCAAATCCTTTCTCACAATTAAAAGTTCCAAATGTGGGACCTCCCTGGTGGCGCAAGGGGTTAAGTGCAGCACTGTGAAGCTATCCACAGCCTCTGCAGCAGGAGTTCAATCCTCTGCCAGCCAGCGAACAACCCACATGGTGCAGCAGACCTCTCCTGCCTCGCCTGCTGCTCCCCTCAGCAGTGTACTTTGGTCGATGTGCCTGTTCTGCTTACCCATTCTGTCTCTGGTGAATCCTCTCACTCCCCCTCCCCCACACCTCTGGCCTGTACCCTGGTTCTTGTATGCATAAATAAATAAATATTTTTAAAAAAAGAAAAAAAAGTTCCACATGAACCTAAGGATCAAAATATCATGTTCTGAAATATATGAAATGTTATTTGGACTGCAAATGTGAAAACAAAAGAGAACTCTATGAGAAAAGTTACCTATTAAGGAAGTGGTCATATTTACTTCAAAACAGCTAAGGCTTCTTTTTCCCAGATATATGTAGGCAATAATCCACACCATGAGACTCCCCCTCCTTTTTGAAACACTTTCTCAGTTGACTTGCAGCACACCAGGCTCCTGATTCCTCTTCTAGCTCAGTCGGTGGGTCCTTCTAAGTCTTTGCTGGCTCCTCCCCTTATCTTCTACTTCTTAATGCTGGCATACCCCAGGCTCAGTCTTTCCCCATCTGTTTCTAGCTACACTAAATGAGCTCATCCAGTGCCATGGCTATTCATGAATGACTCCCAAATTAATTTTTCCAGTTCCAATTTGTACCTTGAAAAATAGACTTGAATATCCAATGGCCTAATCAGCATCTTCACCTAATGTGAAAAAAACCAAACCCTTCTGATTCCACACTCTTCTACTAAATCTGTTCCTTCTCTACTACACCTCATCTCTGCATCCCAGAATTTACCCTGTTGCTCAAAAACCTAGGGGTCACCCTTTATTCCTCTCTTTCCCTCACCTTTCACCCACACTATTAGCAATCTTCCCACCTTCTCTATCTTTAAAACAGAGCCTGAACGCACATACATAACCACCTCCCTAGTATCTATCACAGTGTAGTCTAAGACTCTTGCCTAGAACACTAATAACCTAACTGTTCTCCTCTCTCACTCTTCACTCTTGTCTGTCTAAACTTCACACTGCAGCTCCATACAGGTAAGCCAAATTATGTCATTCCTCCATCCATAACCCTTCCAATGGATTCCCATTACATATCCATACCAAATAAGACCTTTATGAACTATTCTTTTCCTTCCTCCCTATTTCATTTCTTACATTCTTTTCCCTTAATCACTGTGTTGAAAGCTTATAGGCCTCTCTGCTATCGCTCAAACTTGCTGAGTACGTTAATTTTTAAAGCCTTTTCATATGCCTTTACCTCTACCCAAAATGCTCTTACCCTAAATATTTAAATGGCTCATATATTTATGTCAGTAGGGCCTCTGTATATGTCATTTCCTCACAC